TGATTAGGTGATTAGCAAATAAAATCACGAGATGATCAACAAAATCTAACCAATTACAATGAATGTTCGCTATGCTGATGTCGCTATGTTACAGAAGCATTAATATCGTGTTAATCTGATCTTAAAAGTTTATCAAGAATCCGTATTACTAAACGCCACCAACGCCAATTGTGCTGCGAGATAATACAAATTTATCAGTTCGATAAATTCATTCTGCAATATTCTTGATTTTAATAATAATACAAGGTAATGTTGACATATATTGCATAAAACTACACGACTGATTACATCAATAATCCTTTAAATCATGATATTTAGGAAAAATTAATTCAGAATCACGAATATAATTTTTAAAATAAAATTTTTTCTTAAAAATGTTGTTTATTCTATAATAAATTGATAAAAACAAGCGCAAGAATATAAATTAATTAAAAATCAATGACATCTATAAGTTCTTTATCTTCCAAGTCCAAAAATTCCGTTATTCTAAAACATTTTAAAACATTTTCATTTACATACTTATTAATCAAATCATCAACCGATAATCCCCCAAGAAAATTCACCATCTTCTGAAATAAATAAAGACAATGGTCGACCCGACATCGACAAATTTCTATATTTCCAATTGAAAAAAAAAGATTCAATATCATGGAAAGAAAATCTCCAATTTCCGTCAAAATTTAAAATAGAAAAATTTTTTGGTGCTTTATCAACAATAACTTTTAAAATATTTTCTGCGTTAATCATAGTACTATTAATATCATCTTCGATTAAATCTTTAGCACAAATCTTAATTCCAACTAGATTTGTACAAAGTGATAACAATTGTGTAAAATCTTCGATAAAATCATCCGAATAACAAATAGTGACAAAATTGAGTGAATGGGCTGATCTTGAAATAATTCGAATGAACTCTTGAATTTCTTTATTGTCTGGTGGTGAGGCAAGTAATCTGTTCCAATAAATTCTCCGAAAATTAGATGAAGAATGATCGATAAAACACTTATAAATTCTAAATGGTGTAAATTCATCTCGAAATACATCAAGTACTTCAAGATGAGGTAAAACCATGTTACAAAGCCAGAACTTTCTTGGTATTTCAGAAGTGACATAAAGTTTTAAAACTTTAAGAAAAACAAATGTAGATAAATGCTCAGTAGAAAAAAATAAATTATTATAAACATTGATGTAAGTTAAAGATTGCGCTTGAGTAGTAAGTGCATCGCCAATATGTGTTAATTTTTCCACCATTTCACCATTGTCTGTTTTCAACTCCAAATGAATCAAACGATGTTGAAAAGTAATCAAAGTAGCCAAGCCTTGATTATCTTCTTCACAAGGGTAAACACGAAGCTTTTGAATCTTTCGACAAAATTCTGCAAGGCAAAAAAAGTATCTCGGTGAATCATCAGTACTACACTCTAGTTCCGAAAGATATGATAAACATAATCTTGCACCAGGCATATACAAAATAGGGAAATCTGGGAGAACAAGTCGAGTGATCGAAGACACCTTTGACATATACAACTTGTATAATTCATGTTCCAATATAGTAGCTTTATAGCCCAATGTCAAATCATTAAGTCGACTCTGATCGTCTGATAATATTACATGAATCATTCCATCAATTATCCAAGGAGATAAAGTTTGACAATAACTAACATAATTAAACAAGGGTTGGCGATATGTGCTAAAATATGATGTTGCAATGTCATTATATATTCATGTTTGACGAGATACATCGGATAGGCATGATAGAATTGTCTTAATGATGGCGGGTTTATATACAAAATTTCCACCGTCGTACTAAGGGCATGCCCAAAATAAAGGAATGGCATTTTTACACCAAAGTCTATTCACGAATATACAGGTGTTCAAAGATTTTCTATCATCTTTATCATCATTCCTCAAATATTTAAATATTTCGTAAAGACAATCTGCTAAAAGTTCTGGCATGAATAATAAATAATTTTCACTACATTGGAAAAAAAAAGAAAAAAAAGGAAGGATCAAATAATGCAGTACCCATTTATATAATGCAGATTTGTGATCATCATGTTAAACAATACTGTATATCAAAAAAAGTAACTTCTTTGTTGTTGAATGGGTCGATTCTTTTTTGATTATTTATATTAGGTAGCTGCGCGACGTTATCGCACTAAAACCAGGAACGAAGTGCTTTATTTAGGATGTGTGAATAAGTTTAATTATAATATATATAAGTTAAGCAATAAAATAATTTTTCATTCAGTGTCTTATAAATTTAACTTGTATAGGTCAATTTTATAATTATAAATTATTCTGTCGACAGACATTTTGTTGTTAAAATTTGGTTGGCCTGATATATTGTTATGCTAGAGATAGATCGTCGATAAGCAAACCTAGCATTGCCCACAAAAAATGTAGCCTACATCATAATTAAGACGCTGGTAATAATAGCAATATTAAAATCAGTTTTAGTTTTTAGCTAAAGAATAATAACGATAAATGTTTTTAACAAATATATATAGTTGATTCATATCTGTATTCAATTACTTGCGTGTTTATTACGGCACTTTTTCAAATCGCCAATTGTTTTTCTTTTTTCATTTATTTATTTTTTTAAAATTTTAAATAAAATTTAGTAGATTATTACTTGTATTATCGCTATAAATAACTTATGAATGTGATGAGCGTTATCATATAATAAATTTATAACGTCAGCTACATTTTTTTGTGGGCGATGCTAGGTTTGCTCTTATAGATAAGTATGATTTGATCAATAAAGTATTAAAAAATTGTGATTAACATGTTTTTTGTGTAATGACTTTTTATAGTAAGGGGAAAATCTATACTAACATCTTGACAATGTGACGATTTGTTTGTCTATTTTCACGATTTCAGTAACGATTTAATTAATTGACAGGTCAGTAATTTCAAAAGTAGACAGGTTCATAATTTCAATAATAGATAGGTTAGTGATCTTAACAATGTGTGATTTAGTGATTTCAGGAGTTCATAATTTCAATTGAGGACGACTTACAATTTTAGTAGTGGGTTGGTTCATGATTTCAATAGTGGGTACACTCAATATTTAAAACAGGTAGGTAAGTGATTTAATAGTGGGTGATTAATGTAGATAAGTGGGGCGTCGTCAATCAAAACGTCCCAAAGTGCAATTAATGATACGCAGAATTTAAATTCAGATTCAACGTCTATTTGTAGCATGTTATTCGTAACAACTTACTTAAGTATACGTACGTACGTACGTATCATTAATAATTAATGACATCCCACGTTACAATTAGATATGTCGGAATTGTTATAATTTCGTGTAACATTTTTTAAAAAATTATTAATTGCACTTTGGGACGTTTTTGATTGACGATGCCCCAAGTAGTGCCGATTTTAGTAGTGAGTGGGTTAATAATTTCAACAGTGGATGGATTAGTGATTTTAACAGTAGAAGAGTCAGTGATTTCAACATTGAGTTCAATGTTTAACAGATCAGTCAGTATTGTATTTTTAACATTGATGGATTAGTAATAATAATCTTGGGTCGTTGGGTAATAGTGACTAGCGTTGTAAACTTAATTAAAATAATTTTTTATTTTAAATGCTAAAAATCAAAATTAATTACATTTTTGCAT